AAACAATCTCAGCTTCCCTCTCCCTTGGGGGGTTTGCTGAACAGTTCAGGCAAACACATTTCCTGTGATTTGGTGAGAAGCTAAAATAACTCAAGAGAAGGCCTAGTTGGTGGGATACTTCAGAACAATACCCTGAAAAGGAAGCAATGACAAGGGAAATCAATAAGAAGATATCTCTTTACAGAAGCTCAAGGGGACCACCTATCTCTCCAATAAAAGGTTTCCAATTAAGGGACTTAAGTATTCTCAAGAATACCTTGAGGATAAGTAAGCTGTAATGAGGGGCAATCGCCTTCCTGGGGGCTAGAGCTTACAACAGCAACTCCTCTGCTTAGTAAGCCAGAGTGGATGTAATGCCTTGTTCCTCTGGGAAGAAACTTTCATTAATCCTCAGAAGAAAGCTCAATTTGACATGATGGGCCCTTGTCAAAAGCAGTCTCAGGGATTCTCTGTTAATCTCTGCTTTCCGAGGCTCAAATTCTGTGCTTTCCAATACAAGCTTCTCTTTAGTGTGGCTTGTTCTTTGTGCGGGTGTGCCACACCCTGAGTTGTTAACCTCCCCAAAGGGATCTAGTGTTTGCTTCCTCCAGAGCCCTAGGCTTTTAATGCTCTTGCACCATTTTAGTTCTACGTCAAAATAACTGGAGTCTGCATACCACGCAGGTAGCATAACTACGGACCCCACAGCTATTCTATCAACGTCACCTTGGATTTCCATCTCCCCACCCCCGTGCCCCAAACACACACACTCAAAGCCCCACACAGACTCTGGGGAGAATTCTTCTTGTCCCCTTTTGGCAAACAGTTCTTGTGTGACTATAAATACCACAGCGCCTAGAGCCTAGTGCCAGGTCTGAACCACCCATGGCCTAGTGGCGTCAATGTCTTCTGGTACCTGGGAATTTTCCTTTCCTGCTTTCAAGCTCACTATGCACTTAACTACTTCCTATTTCATCCCACACACCTAACGATTTTTCTGGGTGATGAAGTGGGTGTAGAGGGTCAGAATGCACCAGCTCAGTATACTGTTCTGCCAGAAACGTCTAGTTTTTGGTTCCCTAAACTCAATTCTGCCATATTTAGGGTCCCCTGTGTGGCCCTTTAGCTATAATTCAGGCTAGAGCCAGAAATACATTCTTTGCAGTATATGCAATAATGTTGTAACTCATACCCTAACACTGTCTCAAACAGAGAGACACTGAGTGAGGAAGAGCGGAAGGGTAATGGAGGCATTGAGAAACGTGCCCTCAGCCAGCATCAGCAAAGCACGCAGTTACCCCAAGGAAACAGTCACCTTCCTGCCCAAGGCTGCACTTTCTGCAAACAACTAAGTTTGTCCCCAATTCTGGGGAAAAGAATCTGCCTTATGTGAACTTTTCCATGATTTAGAACTGGATGAGTGCACGCTGATGTTCTGGCAGCATCAGAGAGGCAAAGATGGCAAGAAATAAAACAAGGGCACAACCACCTCACCACATCACAACTGTGGTCAGGAGAGTCACTGAGTTCTCTAACAGCAGCCAAGAGAACAGCCACAGAAAACAGCTCCAGCAGCCGACCTGGAGGCCTTGTCCCTGGGGTATCCTCTGATCTCATTACAGCAGTCGACACTAGTCCTCACAAAACAAACAGAGGAAATTTATGCCTGTGGAGAACTCCACATTCCTTGTTTAACGAGAGTTCCAGCTTCTGAGACCACAGCCACCGGGATGGGGAGGATGTCTACTTTGCTCCAAAGAAAGAACTGTCGTCACTGCCTTGCCCTCTTTCTGGGGCTGATACAAGGGCAGTGACCTGGAGAGAGCCACTGACCTTGTGGCCTGGGCTCTCCGCTCTGGTCCCTGAAGAGAAGTTCCCTTTCTTCTTATGTCAACATCCCTAAACTCAGTCAGTGGGGCCATTTCCTCTTGAACAGCTCTGGGAAAGTCACTACAACGCAGCATTGAAGGGTTCCACCTGCTAAGGCCAGAATTCCAAGAAAGAGACGGCTCTGTGTAACAAAACTTTAGGTCTTCTGGTGGGAAAAACTTTCCCCTAAAAGACCCTTGGCTTGAGCCCTGGAAAACTTTACTTAACTTGGGGTTCCCACTTTCAGCGTAAGTGGCAAGAGGGAAAACGTTATTTTATACCCTTTAATTCAATCTCAGAAGTAACTAAGGCCCCAGCTCATGAAGCAGAGAGTGGACTTCCAATCCAAAATAAGAACAGAGCAGTGGTTCTGAGCTGGCGATTTTGCCCCCCGGGGGACATCTGCAATGCATGGAGACACAACTGCTGTCAAGACTCGGGGAGGGTGCTACTGGCATCTAGTGTGTAGAGGCCAGGGATGCTGCTAAACATCCTACCACGCCCATCACAGCTCCTGTAATAGAATTACGTGGTCTAAAGTGTCAGCAGTGCTGAGATTAAGGAACTCTGATGCAGAGGGAACACTCAAGGCTGTGAGTAGGTTTTTAATAATGACAACTCTTAATCACATTACAATAATGTTGATATCATGCAGTCAAAATATTCACAATTAACCACCACAAAAATTTACCAGTTCTCTCTTCAACTAAAATAAATGAAAACTGCCTTTTAACTACACAGAGGAAGATCATTAGATTGGCCTGGACAACAGTGGAGCAGCTTCAATATTAGACTCTATTATCAGCAGCACTCTGAGCGCTGTTTATTCCAGGTCAAGGTGTGATCTGGTGCTTACTATCATATCATAATTCAGTGGTAAGTACCAACAGAAGGAATTTATAAGTTCCCTGATTACTAAAACCGTACATGTAACCTGAGTATATCCAGGTCTGGAAAAAAATGGCAAAATATTTCAACTTTTAAAATACCAACAAAATATGAAGAACCGTTGGTGGCGTTGACCTACATTCTAGGGAAGCTAAAAAAGAAAAAATAGCTGCACAGTAGGGCCCTAAACAAATGCACAACTGCAGAAGTGTATCATAATGAAAATAATGATGGTGCATATTTTGAAATTCTCCCATTTCTAATTTTCTGTACCTGTTTCAAAATACTCCCTTTTCTCTACATAGCATACTTTCATTACATCTGATGTAAGAATATACACTTAGATAACCCAGTCATTACTCTCTCATGAACTCTCTTATTCTAGCAAAAGAAGGAAAAATCCCCTCCAAGTACAGTTAGTGCATGTAAGTAAGTTTGAAGGAGGAGAAGAAAATGAATTTCATGAATGAGCAGGAGTCAACTTTTTAATGGAATGTTTTAAAGGCTTGTGGTATAAACAGTAAACAAAACTGATTCACTAAATGTTAATACTGTTTACCATGATGTAACAGTTAGGCTTTTTTTAATGTTCCAAAAACTAGAGGAAAATGAATACTGTGGTAGGGAAAATGATACCTTCCTTGGCATTTCAAAATCATTGCTCAATTCCCCTCGAGCGAGGAAGCCATAGTAATGACTTTATTTTACCTACCGCAATTATGGTACACCTCGAAGTAATTCTCCACAATATCCCACTTTCCTCCTTCCACTCAAGTCCTGCTCAATAATCTCTGGAAACCATTAACCAAGAGTCCTGTTTCAATTTTCCTCTCCGCCCTCCCCTGCTGCCTCAGTCATGCTGGAGTCAGGACAAAGCAAACTTGTCTTACATCACAGAGCAAACTCATTTTCTAGAAACCGTCCTGTTGGTAGTTTACCGCTACTGGAACTCAACACTGTCAACAGTGTGGTCTTTGTGTGGTGGGTGTTGTTTAAAAAGAATTTTTTTAAAGTTTCCCCACACCCCGTTCCTCTTTTAAAGACAGGCAGCAGTGTGCGGCGCCCTTCCAGCCTGGCTCCACCCTGCTGTGTAAACTAGACATTACCTTATACACAAATGAATCTACGGCATTCCTCAGTCTAGCTGCCTCGCTGCAAATTCCTACGCTCCCCAGCAGCCACAGCAGCACACACTCCCCCTGGCTGCCCCTCCTCTTCCCCCACCCTCCTTTTTTTTAATTTCCACTGCCTCACTGTGTTTTTGTGTAAATGATCTCACATGACTCAACAAATCCATCTGCCTGAAGCAGGCCAAGTCTGGAGCCCTCCCAGGAGGGAGGAAAAGAATTGCTTTGTGGAAAGGACCTGGAGCTCTGCCCTTTCTCTGGCTCGAATTACCCGCCTGTCAGGCCTGACGGATTTGGCTAAAAATAAAAGGAAGCGGGCCGTGAAAAGCAGATGAATGGGCTCAGCAGTTCCTTAGATAACACAGGCCTGCTGTTGCCCAAAGCTCCCCAAACAGAAACTTCAAATGCGGGCCTGTGAGTGCCGGAGGTGGCTTCCAGGTGAAAGGGGGCTGTCAAGTCGCGGGAGGCGGGGAACATGGCCTGTGGTTTAGATTTCTGTTTCAGAACTTTGTGGGGGTGTGTGTGTGTGTGTGTGTGTGTATGAGAGAGAGAGAGAGAGAGAGAGAGAGAGAGAGAGAGAGAGAGACGGAGGCTCTTGTATAAAAAGGTTCTCAGAAAAACAGTAGAGTTCAGTGGAGTGAAGGCTTGGCTTGTAAAAAAAGAAAAAAAATGTTGTTTCCACTACAAAATTACCCTTCTCCCTACCTCCCAACACCAGACATTTTAAGCCTCCCGATGATGTCACTTCTGCATTCAGAGCCAGCAAAGAGCTAAAAGTCCTTCTTGTAAGTGTATGCCCAGCGCCCGCAGTGGGTATTAAGCACTTAGGTTGGCAATGTAATGACACACTGTAACAATCTGTAATATGAAGCAGTCAGCAAAGCCCTGGCTCTGAAAGCTCTTTCTCCGACCATTAACCATATGTTTGGCTCCTCGGATAGCCAAGCGGGTGTTCCAGCGTACCATCTGGTTTCTATCCACACAAGCAACTGCAAAGCACAGACTGTCTCCCTCTGGAGCAGCGTGTTTCTTTTTCTCTCTTCTCCGCTCTTCCCTTCCCCTTTCCTCCTCCCACCTCCTTGGGTTTCCTCTGCTAAAGAATTTTCTGCCATTCATCACGTGCAAAGAAAACTTTACCTGACATGGCAGCGGCAGAGCCATTAAGCATGCACAGCTGTACAGTAAACACGCCAGAGAGCCGTTTACCATCCGCCGAATCCATACAGCACGGTCTCTACCCGCTTCCTCATCTCCTATTGAGTGCTGACACTTGATCCAGTATGTTAAAAATAGGTACATTCTTGACAGATCCAGGGGTTGTTGTGGTGCCCTTCACACTCACTTCATATTCTGGGAGTGGGGCTTTAAAACACACACGCGCGCGCGCGCACGCACACAAACACACACACACACACACACACACACACACACACACACACACGCCCCCTAAGTTTGCCTCCGCATTCAATCTGCATGACATCAGTCTCTCACAGATGACATACCGACTACAAATAACCAAGTTAACTAACGGATTCTATTGCTTTTTCTGCCCTAAAGGATTCCATCCCAAGTGTGTATTTTTCCTTCTTTTTTTCCAAAAGAGCCCAAACTGAAAGAGAGGACACTTCAGAAGAATTAAGAGCATACAATCACTTTCAACAAATTGATAATTTGCCAGTTTTATTTACATCTGCATTTTAATAGTATAATGACATGGAACATGCTATCAGAATTCATAGGATTTTCTTACAACGTGGCCAAAGGATTTATCCCAGATTTTTTCCTTTACAGGATTTAAGATACTTTATAAGTTTTTAAAGATTTATGATGAGATATTTGATAAACAGAAACGAGGTCATTCCCAACCCCCCCCCCAGGAGTCCCCACAAGAATAACGTATGCATTACCCACCCATCGTACCGCATTAGGAAATTAAAGTTAATTCTTTCCCAAACCTTTAAAAGAAAAATTGGTTTCTCACATACCAAGAACAAAAGGAAGAATATCATTACAAAGTGATTAAGCAGAATGTCAGCTTTTATCCTGGCGGAGCTATGGAGGCCCTGTCGGGGGACTACTGTTTATTCAAGCTAACAAGGATGCCAAGGAGGCCACTACCTGCGCGGACTTCTACCCCCTGCCCTTGTCAGTCCTCATTTCCATGATCTGAAATAGGTCTTTTGTTAGCTATTTCCACCAATAAGAGACATTAAAATTCTGCTGCATGTAGGTTTTAGAGAATGACAGAAAAGGTAACTTTTAATTTCCCAAGACTTAGGAAATTGTCCTCAGAAAATGAGTTCAATTAAATGCTGTTTTTGATCCCAAAATCATAGTACAAACTTAAGACTACATTGCCTTTACTCACAATATCATTAATAAAAGGAAAGAAAAATCATCAATTCAAAACCTCAACATTTTCATAGTTAACTACCTAGTTCCTTAAGCGGAATCAATTTATTATAAGGTATTTATGCTTTTCATAAATACTGGTGTCCAGGCCCTCCTCGTCGAGCTCTATAATACCAAGATCCCTGGGGGTGGGCCTGGCCATCAGTAATTTTGAAAGCTTCCCAGAGGTAGCTATTGCGAAGCCAGACTTGAGAAGTCTTGTTCTATGTGAACTCGAATGATACTAGAAACCTCCTCATCAAAACCAAAATGAAACCTTTGGAATGGAAACGTAAATGAAATTTAGGATTAAAACAGTGGCTTCCAAACTTGTTTAGAAGTGGAATCTTCAATCAAACAAAATCTTATTTGGAATCCCTGTAAACAAAAGAGTAAAAACAATAATTTATACCACCATTTTACACTTTTGGTCTGTATGACATCCATGGATTTCATAAATCCAAATACAGAATTTTTAATCAGTATAAGTTGACCAGGGAGAACAAAGTGGTCATTTTACTAAACAGAAAAATGTGAAACTGGAGTTCTGGCTGAAAGGTCCAGTGCTGTCCACCTCAGCATCCAATTTTCTCCACGGCCAATGGGTTCAGATAATCAAGGCCGGATGCAGGTAAAAATAGCAGTGTGTGCAGAACAATGAAATTAATGCACACATTAATTTAATAAATGTCAATTAAATGTCCAGTTCGCACCAGGTACTGCCCTCAGGGGTCACGAGAGGAATAAGTTGCAGCCTTTTCCCTTGAGAAGCCTAGTTAAGAGGACAGCTAATGGCAGAAGAGCAAGACAAGCACGATAATGGAGGCACCAAGAACTTGCCACCCAGGGAGGAGATGCTAATTCTGTCTGTGGAAACAGGGCATAACCTCACCAGCATGGGACAATTCAGTTAGGTCCTAAAAGTCTGAGTAGGACTTTTATGGCTAAGAAAGAAAGGGGAGGACATTTCAGAAAGAAGAAACAGAATATAAAAAATAAAATAAAACCCCATAATATAAATAAGCCTGGTGAGTTTGGGGGATTATGAGAAATTTACAGGTGGGCAGGAAGGGCTGGGATTCGAGGCTAAAGAGGCAGCTGAGGCCAGGCTACAAGAAACTTTAAATGTCATGATACAGCTTAGACCAGCACTAACCAACAGAAACATAAGGTGAACCATACCTGTAATTTCAATTTTCTAGTAGCTATCCTAAAAAAGTAAAAAGAAATAGGAGAAATGAACTTTTACGATATGTTATTTAACTCAATCTATCTAAAATACTGTAATTTCAACATGTAATCAATATAAAAATTACCAATGAGCTATTTTACATTTTTTCCCTAAGTCTTTGATAGAGGGTGTGGATTTTACACCTACAACACATCCTAATATGGACTAGCCACATTTCAAGAACTCAATAGCCACGTGTGCCTAGTGAGACTGTATTGGATAGCCCAGATTTACACATTATCCTGATGCAAGGTAGGCCAAAGGAGTCGCTGGGCTTTGTTTTACAAGGAGACAAATACAGCAACAACGCAGAGTCGCAGAGGGAGGACTGAGTCTGGGACAGGCTTATGAGGCTGTTTCCAGAATTTAGGCCAGGGATGAAGAGAAGGATGAGGTTTGAAACCAGAGCGGCAGGCCTGGTATGGCAGTAGGATGGCATGGAAGAGTCGGAGTCAAAGAATTCAGGAAACTTTAAATGACTGTACATGAGGGATGAAGGAGAAGGAATCATGGAACCATCAAATAAGTTTTGGTGTTTTTTTTATAATTTGTTTTTTTCTGCTGAGGAAGATTTGCCCTGAGCAGACATCTGTTGCCAACCTTCCTCTTTTTTTGCTTGAGGAAGAGTAGCCCTGAGCTAACATCTGTGCCAATCTTCCTCTATTTTATGTGCGTCACCACCATAAAACGGCTGACAAGTAGTGTAGGTCCACACCTGGGATCCGAACCCATGAACTGGGATTGCTGACGTGGAGCACGCTGAACTTAACCACTAGGCCACTGGTTCCAAAATAAGGTTTTTTAATGCTAAAATTTGTGCTTACTGTGAAAAGTTACTGTGTGTTTAATCCAAGGTTGCATAGTTTTCTTCAAGCTTGCTTCCCTCCGCTGCGCAAGGCAATGTTTAATAAACACGCGCTGAGGACCCACCATATGCTAGGCAACGCCAGGCATCGGGGAAGCAAAGCTGAATGAGACACAATCCTTCCTTTCAAGGGGCTCAAACATGGTGTGGGAGCCAGAACAACAAATTGAAACAAAGCATTAAGTGCATTAACAGAAGGACTGCAAGGTATACAAAATGTTCCATAAAGTATAACTTCTATTTCCTATAATATATTCAGTGGCACTTTTGAGATAGCAGGGTGCGGGGCTTTCAGATAGAAGTAGGCTTATTAACTGACTTTTAAAAGTGATCCAGCATACAATTTATGCTGTGTTTGTATTTGGTTGCTGTGTATTGAGAAAACATGCTGATATTTCACAGGTACACAGACACCACTTGCTATCCGAATCGCTGCTCTCCAACTCAGGCACCAAACTGACTGAGACAAGTTTTCAGATGAATCTCTTGTTAACTGCTGCTCTTATTACTTACTATCTGAAACTCAGAAACGAGACTGACATGACTAACACTATCCTTTGCTTTTGGAACTCAGTGTGGGAAATTTCCATATCCAAATTCTGGAAATGAGTGGATTGGAACGGCAAGGGATAGTTACTGATAACAGTTCTTTAGTAATGTTATGCTATGCCTCAAACTAACCAAAAATTTTGGTAAAAATGCAGTAGTTAATATTTTTTTAATTTAAAATTTTAATCACTAATGATAATCTGCCAACTACTTGATGTCTTTAAAACCCAGTCAAAGAGCATCCAAAAGTAGAGTGGGTACACAGGACCTTATAACAGAATAGAGGTCACTAAGCGATGTGTGTTGTGTTCACGTATTGTACAACTGGCCATTAATCCACGCAGAAGCCCACACTCGTTGGAGGCTCCCAATCCCTCCCTGGCACGTAATCAAGTGTGCTGAATAAAAGGAGGAATTCTCTTCTTCAATTTACCATCAGGGTGGAATCTGAGAAACACTGGTATAGAACTTCCTGACCAACGGCTCATTTATAAGAAAATCAAATACATAAGCCAAAACATTGGAAAACCCTCAATTTCAAGGTTAACTTGACAGTCCAATTCAACACACTGGTGGTCCCAATGTGTTAAAATTTGGTACATAACACTTTTAAGCATGCATTTTTTTTTTTACCATGGTTATAAACATTGCTTAAAATATATTAAAAATGAAACGCAAGCTAAACATTTGCAGAGCCCCTCAAGCATCTCCAGGGAACTTCTGCAGACCAGTTTGAAGACCACTGGCTTAGGGCCTTTGAGGTTAAAATGTAAATCTAAGAGCGATACTTTGGTGCACCCACTATTTAAGGATCATTAAGTCATTCCCAAACTTTAGCCTAAGGACAGATACCATCCCTCATTATCCTAAAGAAGTGAAGCTGAGAAACAAAACTGCAGAAGGCGTTTTAAGATTCTCTAGTAAATCAGAATTAAAGAGGTTAGGACCCAAACCTGAGACAGATTATTCATTTATCAATGTTGTTCACTCACTAACTCACTCAACAATATTTACTGATCACCTGCTAAGTGCTGGGCACTGTCCTCTTAAGATTTGGGATACATCAGTGAAGAAAACAGATAAAATCCCCAACGTTTGCGGAATTTACAGTCTAGTGGGGGAAACAGACAATAAAAAAATAAGAAACATAAAGTTATGGTTGTTATAAGGTGATAGGTGCGCTGAAAAAAACTGACTGGCATCAGAGGAATTGGAAATGGGGTAGAGAAGGAAGGCTGCAATTTTAAACAGGATGGTCAGCATGGGTGAGAAGCTCAAAGTGGATCAATGACTTAAAGGAGGTGAGAGGTAAACCAAGAGGAGATGAATTAGAGCAGGGGGTCTCAAAGTGGGGTCCCAGGGCCTCAGCATCACCTGGAAACTTGTTACTGGCTTAGAAACACTAGAGGGGGCCCCATTATTCTGTTTTAACAAGGCTGCCAGGTGATTCTGACGCACACTAAAATTTGAGAACCACTGCCCTGGAGGAAAGGCCCTAGAGTCAGAGCAGGCTAGAATGTTCTACAGAAACAGGGGTGAAACTGGGCTCGGAGGCGAGAAATAGGGGTGAAACCATGAGGAGAGTGGTGAGGATAAGGAAAGAAGGGCCAAGGGCACCCAGAGCATGCACAGCTTCACACTGAGACCTACTCCAAGTGAAATGGGAAGCCACAGAAGGGTTTTGGGCAGAGGTGCCACATGGCCTGACTTATATTTTAAAAGTTCAAGCTGGCTGTTGTACTGAGTGGAAGCACTACATTATCTGCCTCAGGAGAAGAGTCCTTAACTTCTAAATTCCACTTTGGGCGGTGGTGTGCTGCTAAATCTTGAAAAGCTGGCTCTGACAGTGAAGAGATCAGATTTGTAGCATTTGCCAATTTCCATGGTGTAAATACTCCCACCCTGGCTGATTTCAAGCTGCCAACGTGACTCACTGAACACGGAGTTGTGAAGAGATGTGTGCAATCCACGCACAACACTGACTTCTGGTCCCAATGTCACTCATACCATTGAGGACATTTAAAAATGACAGGAAATTTTGTAAATCTGACTGAAAATGTTAATGTTATTTCAGAAGTCTATATAAACGTAGTGCATTCTCCTGCCATATTACTGTTAATCACATACAGATCCCAATTCCTTAGAAGTTAACGTAGAGACAATATATTAACTTCATTTAAAGAAAACCTCATGAGCATTAAACTTCAATTTCCTTTAGTCAAAAAATCTATTTAGCTGTTTGCTGGGGTTCCTTTGCTATTGCATTTTTCCTCCAACTAGAATTAATATCTTGGACACTCAGCACTAATTAGGATTTGCCATGCAGACTATGCTGGGCTGCCACTCCAAGAGCTCACATGAATCCTGGGCAGGGCATCAAGGAGTGTGTGAGTGTGTGTGTGTTACAAGAACAAAAGTTTGCATTTATCTGAAGATGAAGTGACGTCTGGATAAAGCCTGCATCCATTTGATTTGCCATTAAGAAACTTTCCTTAGCCTCACGGAATGACCCTATTTCTGTCAATCAGGGCAGACTGTAGTGTGGGAAAATATTTTTTAAACACAGCACCTTCTATGAAGAAAAAGACACTCTATAAACTCCTGATAAACAGCAAGTGTTTGCTACTGTCAGGAATACACGCCACACATTCTCCAGTCTGCACTATCCCTCAGCCGTGTCCCACCCACACTCAGACCCCAGCCGGCCGGATCAGCAAGTGTGCACCAGCTCGCACTCCTGTAAAACAATGGGGTCTTTCAGGCCTCACGATCTTGTGAAGAAACAAGCTGAAACGTCATGGGAAAAATTAGGAAATATCAGAGGAAAACAGCTCACAAAATGAGGGGTGGAACCACTGGCTCGCATGTTCTAATTCTTGAACAAAGAGAAACCACCGGGCCAGCCCCCTGCCTGCTCTGACCCTTCCATTTCAAAAGAGAGGCATCCTAAGCCCCTTTTCTTTTCTTGAGGATTAACAGCAGCAAGACCTAGACAAGACATCAGAATGAGACATTTTTAAACCTAAAGGAGCAGAGTTAATTTCAAAAGCTTTTCCTTCAAGAAAAACCTAATAACCAACTCAAACTACCAGGCTTGTTCAGTGATCCCTAATACCAACACAATTACAGACCAACTGGACTTTAACAACCGCAAAAAGCAAAACAGAAACTCCTTCTAATATACCATATTTTTTTAGTTCTTTCAAAGTATTCTTGCTATTAAATTTCACACAACTAACTCCACCTCCACAATCCTTCCTCATTACCTGCCATCCCAGTTTATACCTTTCACATGAGCCTAGCTAGCTGGCCTAGCAGCCTGCAACCCTCCATTCTCTATCTCCCAGCCTCTGCCAAAAGCTGTTCCACTTGCAAATTACCTGCCTCGTCCTACCTACCAAACAACATCTCTTTTGCCTTAAAAACCTCAGTTTAAGACCTAGTACCTGCTGTACAATGAATTTCTAGATTAATCAAGTACATTTATTTGCAAAACGCCAACAAATTTATCCTTCTGCTTTAATATGCTTTTATAATCCAACTACGTTTTCCAGTTAAGTTAATCTAACTTTTCGTAACTCCCTGAGGATAAAGCCAGAGTCAGTTCTTCCCTATGTGATCTCCAACTTTCCATCATATTGCTATCTGTAAGATCTTATCAACTGTTAAGCACTACAGGCACGTCAGCTGTTGTCTCCCAATAGTGAACCTGACGGTCAACCATTCTGGGAAAAGAACTCTAAGTGGTTTACTATTAGAAAGCATTACGCGGAAGAGGTTTATTTTGCCCTTGGAATAAAAAAGCAATGTATTAAAATCATAAAAATGTTTTAAAAGGTAAAACAATTTAAAAAGAAATACATCACATAGTGAAAATAGGAGAGTCCAAAGAGGCCGTATAGTATCACTCCAGCATCACCAAGAGCCTAAGCCTAAGAACAACCTTTGGGGAGAAATCATCATTTGACACTGAGGTAGAATTCCAAGTCAGGCATCCATAGTTTCTAAAGATCCCCAGGTGATTCCAATGTGCATCAAGGTTTTGGAACCACTGTCTTAGACTCTGCTGGTGGAAGTTTTCGCTCAATGAGGAAAGAGCACAATAACTTATATTAAAGATGGTAACAGTGATGAGTCAAAGTTAACTGTGACACTCTGAAGTGGGAATAAAAAGTCTCTCCTTTG